TTTTTGATGTTGAAACAAACCCTGATATATGCACACGAGACTCACGAGGTCAAGAAGATCACAAAATTTTTAAACCTGATAAACAATTACAAGTCTGAAAAGAAACATAAACGATGACAATGGACGAACCATGTAAAGATCGCATGTCGGTTACACGACGGAGGTTTTACAGCCGCAGGAGGAGGCGGCAGCTGCTGCGGGAGGCGCTATCACCTCCGCCGCAGCTGCCCTGCCTGCACCGCTGGTCAGAGCTCAATTAACATGAGTTTGTTATACTTACATTTAAATACATCAATCTCTTAGAGATACAAGTAAGTAGCATTGGTGAGTAAACGCAAATGAGATAAGTTAAAGAGCTGAGTAGATCGCTTTTTTATGAAATAGGAGTGATGAAAGGTTATAGTACGTACTAGAGGCAGCATACATGTACTCGCCTAAAAGTACAATTTAAGGCTTGATGTGCACAGGCTTTTATGTGTCCATGCGCCGCGGCTCTTGAGGGACAAAAAATTCAAAGAACCTTTTCTTCGTGCATTTTTTTCAATGGAAAGTCAAAAGAGATATCCTGTTCATTCTTGACTTGAGGTGCGAAACTCCTAATTTCCGCGTTAGGTGACACTTAGGTAAATGAAACACTCCTTTTGGTGCTGCATTTGGTAAATGGCACAATTTGAACTAAAGCCTGTTCTTGATATGCGGAAAGGCATTTTCATTACATGGCGAAGGCAATTGACGGATCAATTGACTACGGAAAATAATTCAAATTAATTAAAAATTTTGTGATAATTCAAATGGTTTTATGATTTTTAGCAAAATTATAAACCGCTCATCATATACGACGTTCACCCTAATAATTACATTTTTTACCTTCAATTACCACAACTTTACTGACCCTGACTTGCAGCGAGGAACAAGAGGTTCGCACCACCAAGAAGGTGTCATGGAAAGAAGCATGACGAGCTTCATACAATGACTGGTCACATCGCAGGGGGAAGAGGCGAGCGCCTCTGACAAGTGGCAGCCGAATAAGCCTGTAATTGCAGAGCAGCGACATCTGCTGAGAGCTTCATGACAATGTTTAGCGCGCCAAAACATAGCATAATGACGCGCGACGGCTCCTCACACCTTACTCGTCTCACGTACATACCGTAGCGCTCTCTGTTGATGCGCTTCGGAGTAGTAAATATTTTTTAGTTTATTAGAAATCGTGTAGAGCTAGACGCTATATATAAATGTGTACTAAGATAAATCAATCTACAATGTTTACTCATATTATAAGTAAATGCTTTTAGTCAATGTGAAAAAATTACATAATTTTCCTCATTGATTGCAGTTTCCAGAATGATACATGAATTGTATAAAGACGAATTTCTGAAAGACGGATTTCATCCAGAATTTTTACGAATTCATTCAATGAAATTATTCCAATAAAGCTCTCCGCGAGGTTAGTTTCATTATCCGAACTGACTGGAACATATAAATGAAAGTTCGATGTGGAAATGGCTGTAAAATGACGATCACCTTGCCGCGGAGACAATGGATAAACAGAAGTTGTTCGTTCTCAAATCGTTCAATGAGAACGAGAACGCTCATGCAAGAGATTGGTTGCCATAAGTTGCATTCACAAGAGGATTAGGGAAGTGAACTGTAAGTTTCTCCAGTTGTGATCGCTCGTGATGAGGATCAAATGTGCTCGGAACAATGGTTGTCATTAGGACGACTCCGCGCAAGATCGGCTTCGGTGGAGTGGGTCAAAGTTTTTCTTGGGTTGATGAGACTTCCTTTACGGCAGAGCTTAAAAGGACCAGCGATGACAAATTCTCAGATATTTCACGCAACCTTCCTATTATGCTTTGCATTTTTTCGTTGCATCGCCTCATTTATTCAAGCTTACCGATGATGATGATGTATACGTTTTTTTTAATTATTGTATTTTTCTTTTTCTAAGTTTTCATATTACATTTATATATTATATTGAAACAACGCAACACTCACACATCACAGGACAGGAAAAATTCTCGCTATTTCTACATCACTCCCATCCAAAGGACGAGAGCAGTAATGACTGTAGTGGCATTGTCGCCACAATGGGCACGCTTTTAAGAGCGTCTTATGCCTTTGTTCTAACAATGACTATTGTCATGGCGGCATGGGTTGAGGAGCGTGAACGACGCAGGCGCAATTAGCTTGTGTTTGTTTAACAACGCGACTTAGCCGCCTCGTCTCGATAATAAAACTTACTCATGAAAATAATCCGCAATATAGACTATATATTTGATGATGGAACAGCCCTAATGCACAGCTAGCGGCAGCAGATGAGAAGTGAATTTATTTTAAATGGAGGCAGCGATATGATCAGACCTGGAACACACTGTCAGATTGTCTGGAGCTGCTATTCGTCAGTTGGCCAACCGTGATGAGGTAGAATAAAAAGCATTGACATGGAGTTACCTAGAAATTGGTAACGTAGTAGATCTTCAAGAAAGAGAGATATATGGCCGTCCATTGCTGCAGCGATCCAAAGGATATTAAGAGTCTACCAACATGATTTTGCAGTCTGCCGCGCACGATATTAGTCTGCCATACAAGATACTGCTGTCTGTCACGCACGATATTGCTGTCTGCCATACAAGATACTGCTGTCTGTCACGCACGATATTGTAGTCTGTCACGCACGATATTGCTGTCTGTCATGCACGATATTGCAGTCTGCCACGCACGATATTGCTGTCTGCCATACAAGATATTGCTGTCTGTCACGCACGATATTGTAGTCTGCCACGCACGATATTGAATATTGCTGTCTGCCACGCACGATATTGCTGTCTGCCATGCACAATATTGCTGTCTGCCACGCACGATATTATGCAGTCTGCCACGCACGACAGACTGGGTCTGCCACGCACGATTATATACCCAGTCTGTCACGCTCGATATTGCAGTCTGCCACGCTCGATATTGCAGTCTGCCACTCACGACATTGCTGTCTGCCACTCACGATATTGCAGTCTGTCACGCGCGATATTGCTGTTTGCCACGATATGATAACCAACCCGACGAGTGCCGTCCCAAATCACAATTGCGTGACGCTTGCAGCGTTAGAAAATTCGTGAACTTTTCTATTAAAATCATAAGGCTTCCATGGGCGCGAATGAATTCATTAAGTGCAGTAGATTTATTGTGCTTAACTTCCTGTCCTCGCAAAACTCTAAGTTTAGCTGAGGTTAACCTAGCTTCGGTTGTCGAGGCTTCGACCCACACAAGCGATGTGGTTTTCGGCTCTGCTTTTGGAAGATTAAATGTCGTCAGGATGCGTGAGCTGAAAGTATATGCGGCTGGAAGTGAGATTACTTCTTTGGGAACATCCGTTGCGGTCTCTGCTTGCGGTGCACCCAAAATTGTTCAAAGCTATCGTCAAGGAAACCCGATGATGCTGGGAAAACTCGACACACAGCGGTAAACGATCGATAATTATACGTTTGAGCCCAAACGAACGTTTCCATTAATTGGTCCAGAGAACGAACGTTTCCATTAATTGGTCCAGAGAACGAACGTTTCCATTAATTGGTCCAGAGAACGAACGTTTACATTAATTGGTCCAGAGAACGAACGTTTCCATTAATTGGTCCAGAGAACGAACGTTTCCATTAATTTGTCCAGAGCTCAGAATGGCTAGCAAATTTAAGAGTTTAGATCTGTGATTTTAAAATGAAATTTCAAGTGCACTTTTTTGCACATCACTTGTACATATTACGTGGCGGTTGAAATAAGTGCAATATCTTATCTATAATTAACGTATAGGAATCGCACATAGGAATTCTATCTGCCATCGTAATCTTCAGCGCGGTACAAAATTTTGAATAATAATTGCGAACCGATTTATTTTCTTTATAACGCGATAGCATTATTATATTGAAATGCAAATTATAGTAACAATTAATGGTATAGTTATTGTAATTGCATCTTGAACATTAATATTTTGCTCCCGACAGGCTTGCAAATAAATGTTTCGCGTAAATGAAACGATAAATTGTCTCAAAATATATTATGTTAACGCATACTACGATATTTTTATAGCATTTCGACAAGGTCAAATGATGACTTAATTGACACATCAATATATTAGGATGATTTAAAATCATTTTAACGTTCCATGGTTAGCTTTTCGACTCAGCCGCACATAGCGGCGACTCGGATAATAGCTGATAAGAAAAATCGACTGCATTTGATCTATTAAAAAAAGAAATGATTCATCAAAAAATCAGCGAATTCATCCTCGTTCGAAGACATCCTCAGTTTGCATTTTTCGTCGCCATGGGAGAGCATTACACGATGAACAANATACACATCTTTTCAACGATGTGACCGGTAATTTACGTGTTGCTTAGGCTATAAGGAGCTTTTTATACTGTTAATTACCTCCTGGAGTGTCTTCTTTATTGTCACTAATTATGTTTCGCGGCAGGGCAGAGCGAAGCGACATGCGTAACATCAAGGGTCATATATCTTAGCCCTCCACGTGCCGCAGGTTAACTTGTGATTTAACATCGACTAATTCAAGAACATTTGACGATTTGCTGCTAGACTTGTCATATTTTGAAATCTTTGTAGAACAAACGAGTTATCAAAGGTTTTGATGTCGTCAGGGAGATGTAGAGAGCTAGCAAACGGGAGCGCGAGAGCAGAGAGTTGGTGCATATATATGGTTACGTAGGTAGGCAGTCGCAACTCGAAATGACACCGAGACTCTTACCTGTCAAGGGGGTTACGCTCCTCCCTTGCAGCAGTGACATCAGCGAGCTGCTTGTGAACATCACACGCTTACCTGTACGCAGCCCCACCCTGTCTCACGTACTCGTGTGGGACTTGCCCTCACTGAGACCCGCCTGTCTCACCTGGCCCAACCCGGCCATTGGTGGCGGCGGACTTTGGCCCCGCCTCGGCCCATGTACGTGAGTGGGTCGGCCTGACTCGTCTAATAGTTACGATTGAATGTTTGTCGTGTGCACATCTGTAACACAACCCATGAATGAACCTTTAGTCCGCACGATTGCCCATACTTTTAAAAAGAGTTAAATTAATGAAAACTTTTATTTATATCCATTTTAAATCGGGATATTAAGTGAAGTTAATCATGCTGGTAGTTCTTGACATAAAGCTTTTGTTTTGAAAATTTTTTTACGTGCCGTTTGATTTCAATTTGATCGTCTGATTCAATCGCTCATACTGAAAAAAAAAAAAATCTTACCAGAAACGGCTTTAGGAGGCGATAATTTTGCACAGAAAATTTATCAGGGTATGATGTGACTTAGAAATTATTCTGATGCAAATTTTGTTGTGCGCTAACAGTTCAAGAAGCACAAGTTTCTGATGGGGCTCTTCGAGGGCGCTTCGTCTCCTCAGGACATGTTCTGGGTGAGGGAAACCTTCGTCTTGTTCCGAGGGCAATGCAATGTGCCCCTTTTATATAGAGATCTTCAATGCTCAAAATTTGTTGTCAAAAACTTGATTATTTATATTAGAACTTGTTTTCCATGCTCAATTTTTGTTGTCGAAAACCTGATTATTTATTTTAGAACTTGTTTTCAATGCTCAATTTTTGTTGTCAAAAACCTAATTATTTATTTTAGAATTTGTTTTCAATGCTCAATTTTTGTTGTCAAAAACCTGATTATTTACTTTAGAACTTGTTATTGATTAACAACCATGCTCGTAAGTAACTACAAAAGAATTACTATTTATAATGAAACACAATTATTTTATTTCGCATGCGAGTCTGGTATATTGAAGCGCGAAAATAGACGAAATTTTTAGGCACAATTAAAAGAAATATAATGAAGCATTTTTTCAGACCATTTTTTCTTTGTAAAGTGATTAGTATATAGAAATAGCTCTCGACCTGCATCTGATCAAGAGGGTTGGGAAGATCATAATTTATTACAGAACTTGTACAAAGATCAAATTAATCATCATCAAATTACTAAATCTATATACACAGTAACCTTCTTCAAATTGATATATATATATGCGCATTTACCATCAAATTTATAAATCATACACGTAACCCTGCATCTTCAAATTGATAAATTCACACATTAATTATGGACAAATTACTAAATCTACATATTAATCATCATCAAATTGATAAATCAGCACATTAATCAGCGTTAAATTAATAAATGTTCACGTTAATCGTCGTCAAATTAATAAATCTGCACATTAATCGTCGAAAATGATCACGTTCGCTGTATCGCAAATTTATCATGACATTTTATATTCACATGGATTCTATTTCAATTCATTTTAATTACTGATCGAACAGTGTAATCGTATTCATTTTAATTACTGATCGAACAGTGCAATCGTTTTCATTTTAATTACTGATCGAACAGTGTAATCGTATTCATTTTAATTACTGATCGAACAGTGTAATCGTATTCATTTTAATTACTGATCAAACCGTGAAACCGTATTAATTTTAATTACTGATCAAACAGTACGTGTAACCGTATTTCATTGAATTACTGATCAAACAGTGTAACCGTATTCTTTTGAATTACTGATTAAAATAACATGCCACGCATTTTATATATCTAATAACATGTCTCAAATTTAACGAAAATTCTTTGATTTATACTTAATTTCTTATAAAATTTTTTTACAATTTTTAACGACCACCAGAGGCGTGCATGAATAATGAATATTCGAATAAACAAATTGTTATCTTAAGTAAAATAATTTATTATTATTGAAATTAGATATGAGTAGATATTATACATTCTTAAATATGGTAAATTATTATTCTATTCTAGAGCTGTCGGATTGAAATAATTAATTCTACTTTCGGTACAACAATTTACTGAACGCTATTTAATAAATAGAAAGTTTTGAGCATCAGTATTGAAAAAAATCCAATATTCATTTAATATGAAGCTCGTTAAAATATATTATAAACTAATGAATTTTAAAATCTAAATATTATTTTTATTCGAATTTAGTGAAGCCTGCATGTGATCTGCTGCTGCACACAAACGCAAACAAAATATGAAGAAGTTCTTCCCTCAGATTTCGGAATTTTATTAAATTTCATTAATTTTAAAATAAATAACAATGAATTGCAAAGAAGTTCTAAAATTATTTCACTTCACTTAAGATATTTGAATGAATTTGAGGTGATAAACTCTTTTGGATAAAGTAAATGGCGTCGGCAAGATAGATAACAAACCAGTTATCTGTTACTGATGAAATAAAATTTAAATTTAAGTGTCCGCCGGTCTATTATATTAGTTTCAATATCAACCTGCGCATCAGCAAATCGTATTCGGTCATTTTAAACAAAATAAAAATGCCGGGAAGATGTTAATTTATTAATTAATTAATTAGTTTATTTATTTATTACATTATTCCAACCATAATCCTAATATATTCAAACTGAATGCAAACCATCAGGTATTTTCTGGTTATTCTTATACAAATGCTACACTTTTGACATGCTATATAATGTGGAAAACGACGTACGATTGAAATTTAAATCAAGCTTCATTTTTCATTAACCGTATTTGTGAAATGTCCAGGATGATTACATCATTTAACTCTCAAATGCACGGTGTATCATAAATGATTCAAACATAATTTTTCCAATTTTCGCCTATAAATGCTTAGGTAATTAGGCTATACCTCCCTGCAGCACTCTTTGTGTTAAGCACGACATATACCAAGTCAAACATGAACAAAACATGTTATATCGGCGTAGCGCAGTAATACGTCTCTACATTAAATAAGAACATTAATTCAAGGGTTAAGTACATAAAATTTATTTGCACGTAAAAAGAATTTATCTTGCAATTTGTTCTCCCGTCTCTTGCAATTTATTGTCTCATTTCTTGCAATTTTCCTGTAAAAGAAATTGACAAAAAAAAATACAAGTAAAAGAAATATGATAACATAAACGATTTATTTAAACATAACACGATTTATATAACATAACACGATAACACAAACGATTTATTTAAACGATTTATTGTTTAATAGCAAGATATAATACACACATGGATCTGAGAGGTTTTTACAATAACAACGGTCAAGATAAAACTGAGATAATCTTAACAACAATCAAGACAATACTGACAACGAACAAAAATATTGTTTATACAGCTGTTATCCAGCGTGTTTGCTACAGAGCTTGCTACAGCAAAGTAAAGCAAGAAGCAAATATTATTTCAACTGAGATTTGCAATAAATAATTACGTGGCTTTAGAAGGCTTATAAAAATCATCCCTGAATTAACGTGATAATTTTTCTAGTGTTTTAAAGCATTATACAGCACAACAGCCGCATCGTCATCGGCGTCTTTCAATAGAACTCATATTCTACTACCAAATATTCATATTTTAAACGAATAATTTCGGCAAAGAAATGCTCAATTAAAAGTTTTAAATTTATGCGAGTATTTCATAATAAATCGATGTGAACAGTGGCAATAAATAGTCCAAATTTCAATATCTTCAAAGCATTTAGTAACGATGAGTAGAAACTCGACAATGTTCGAAAAACAATTTCGTTTTAATAGCCTTGACCACATTAGTTGCGCTCTTGCATGTTGCTGAGCTCCGAGGCAATCAATTGCCTTCGCGAAAATTGAAGTCAAATTTGAACTGAAGAACAACTTATAAAGCCTTCGGAGGCCTTATTAAATGAAATAGAGTAACATGCTTTACCACAATCAGGAATACAATCACCATTTAGATTACCTTCATAGCAAAATCAGAACCAGCACCAGCGCATATATAGGTTACCTTCTTCGCCAAGATAAGGATCATCACTATCACTTGAATTACCTTTATCACCACAATTATTACTATCACCACTACTTATATTACCTCCGTCACCACAGCCATCACCATCTTCCCAATTATGTACTTTGATTTCATCACCACGACAACGTACATAATTTAACCTTCATCACCATAATTACGAACGTCACCACCACTTAAATTACCTTAACCACCATAATAAGGAGCGTCACCACTACTTATATTATTTTCATTTACCATAATCGGGACCTTCACCACAATTTAAATTACCATCATCATCTCACTCAGCACCATCACCGAGACATTTTATACAGCCCAAATCACGTACGCGTGTAACTCATGGTGCCTCAGAAATGGACACGTGAGAGCGTGCGGCACGGGAAACATAAAAGTTTTAATTACAGTGCCGAAAAAAACGATTCTTATAAGCTTGTTAGAGTGAGACTGTGGCGACAGTTTATATCAAGCTGCATTTTAAAGTCTTTCATATATGTTTGCGCTAGAGTAAGACAGTGAATGTCTGAAATGGCAATAGTTTATATCGAGTTTCATTTTACAGCTCTTCGTGCATACTTGCTATAGAGTAAGACTGTGCCTGTATATGAAGTGGCAATAGTTTATATCAAGCTTTTTTTTTACAGCGTTTCATATATTGTTGCAAGAGTGAGACTGTGCCTGTTTATGAAGTCGTAATTTTTTCATATCAATCTTTATTTTACAGTGATATATATAATATGCTTGCTAGAGTAAGACTGTGCCTGTATGAAGTAGCAATATTTTTACCAAAGCTGCATTTTACAGTATTTCATATATGCTTGCTATAGAGTAAGACTGTGAATGCCTGAAATGGCAATATTTTATATGAAGTCTCATGTTACAGTGTTTCATATATGCTTGCTAGAGTAAGACTGTGCTGGCCTGTATGAAGTGGCAATAGGTTATATAAAGCTTTTTTACAGTGTTTCATATATTCTCGCTAGAGTGAGACTTTGCCTGTCTGAATTGGCAATAGTTTATATCAAGTTTCATTTTACAGCGCTTCGTGCATGCTTGCTAGAGTATATAAGACTGTGCCAGTCTGAAATGGCAATAGTTTATACCCGTTATCCACGCAGGCTAGAATTTCCTCCGAGCATGCGCTGTACAAAACTGAAACCTGCTTCACGATATCATTCGCAGTCCAGTGCGTTTAGTCAGTTAAATACATACTTCTTTTGATTAAATTTACGTGCGTATGATTAATTATCTGAGGTAAATACGCGACCATTTTCGCCCTGGAAGAATTCAGCCCACACACACATGCACGAATATATCGTGCATAGATTACATCTTCAAGTCATGCGTGAGTTATATGAAGTAAAAGACGAAAACGTTGGACATGCAAAGCCAAGGAAATTGTCTCTCCTGCAGCGCGTTAACTGTTCTGAGATATGAGAACTGGGTTACATGCTACTAATTAGTTCAATTCGGCGGTTTAAATTCCTTGTGAACTTGCGATATAAGCAGACTAATGATATAACTACTAATTCGTAAATTATAGGGCTGCTCCAGTTAGACTTCTAAAGCATTTATTTATAAAAATGATAATCGTCTTCGTGGTAG